TGTCTACTCGGCGCTTCTTGGCTTGTCTCTTGTATTCATTCAATGGAGCATCTCTTGTCACTGTCCAGCAATAGTCTGCAATCATTGATGGGCTCCATTTGCCCTGATAGCGTTTCTCCATTGTTGCAATGTCCTGGTGAAATCGCTCGCCGTGCTCGTCGCTCACTGCTCCGCAGTTCGGTGGAAAAAAATCTAGATGAGAGTGCAAAAATGTATCTTTAGTGACATGTTGCAACCAAGGCTTTTGTATGCCTTGAGGAGGTTTTCCACCAACAACCTGTAGTTGTCTGCCTTGTTGTTTCCGAGAAAATTTATTGCCACTAACTGGAAGGCTTTCCATGCCGTCTTTTCCTAGCCACGCAGTGCATGGTCAAATGCATCATCTCAAAGAAGTTCACGAATCTGAGGACCAACAAAGACACCTTCCTTTATCTTAGCCTCACTTAACCTTGGAAATTTTCCACAGAGGTACTTGAAAGCTGCTTGTGTTTTGTCAATGGCCTTGACAAAGTTCTTCATCAGACCCAGCTTGATGTGTAAGGGTGGTAACAAAATCTTCCTTGATTCAACACGTGGTGGATGCTGAACACTTTTCCTCCCAGGCTCCAATGACTGTCGGAGTGGCCAATCTTTCTTGATGTAGTGGGAATCTCTTGCACGACTATCCCATTCGCAGAGAAAACAGCAGTACTTTGTGTATCCAGTCTGCAGACCAAGCAAGAGAGCAACAACCTTCAAATCGCCACAAAGCTGCCACTGATGTTGGTCATAGTTTATGCACCTCAAAAGTTGTTTCATGTTGTCATAGGTTTCCTTCATATAGACTGTATGACCAACTGGAATTGATGGCAAAACATTGCCATTATGCAGTAAAACAGCTTTAAGACTCGTCTTCGATGAATCAATGAACAGTCTCCACTCATCTGGATCGTGAACAATGTTGAGGGCTGCCATCACACCATCGATGTTGTTGCAGGCTACAAGATCACCTTCCATGAAGAAGAATGGGACAAGATCCTTTTGACGGTCACGGAACATGGAAACCCTAACATCACCTGCCAGGAGATTCCACTGCTGTTGTCTGGAGCCCAACAGCTCTGCCTTACTCTTGGGTAGTTCCAAATCCCTGACAAGGTCATTCATTCAGTTCACCTTGTGTTATGAGGTGTGGTTCAGAGGAGGAGGATGGGAGAAAATGTGGGTCCTGTGACATTGATGGTTCAGGACCAGAAGTTTCATCCTCTTCCTCTTCCTCGTCTGACTCAAGTGAGAATGATTCTGGCGCATCAGGAACTGGCAGTCCTTCTCCGTGGGGTACTGGGCGTATAGCTGATGGAATGTTTGGATAATGCACAGTCCACTTTTTCTTCTTTGACACACCTTTCCCAACTGGAGGCACCATGCAGAAGTAACAATTGCTGGTATGATCTGTTGGCTCTCTCCAAATCATTGGCACTGCAAAAGGCATAGATTTCCTTTTCCTGTTCAACCACTGGCGAAGATTTGTTGCACAAGTGTTGCAGCATATGTGTGGGGCCCACCTCTTGTCCTGATCTCCAGTTTTGCAGCCAAAATAAAGGTGATAGGCTTTCTTAACCATAGTGGTTATACTGCGCTTTTGTGATGCAAAAGTCACTTCACCACAAACATAGCAGAAGTTATCTGCACTGTTCACACAAGTACGAGGCATCTCTGCTCACTTTGGCTAAACAGAAATGTGTCCCTTTGCAAAATCAAACACTGACAAATAAGAGAGCACGACACTGTATGATTTCTATAGCTGATATAGGGCAATTTGTTCAGCAGAGTGATGTAAGCTTCATTATGATTGCATCATCCATGACTTCTAGGAATAACATGATGCAATTCATATCATATGACGCAATACCCGCTTCAGATTGCATCATTCATTGTTTTGCCTAAAAAGCAAGTACTGTCCAAACCCAGTCATAGATTTATTCATAGATCCAGTCAAAGATGTATTTTAGTCATTTCTGGTTTAAATTGAGATCCCTTCCCTTTATAACTCACTTATCCTCCGCCATTCTCAAGTCAAGGGTTGTATATACTGACCCAATTGAAAACTAGAGCCAATCAACAATTTTAAGCATCATTTTCGTTCTCAGTGACCAAGAATTAGTAAAGTTTGACTACATTTATTTCAGAAGCATTTTGGCTGTAGTGTAATTATTTGTGCTAATGCTCCCTTTTTATTGTATATGTAATGGTTAAGTCACATTATTTACAAACATTTGGAACATGCATTTGGTACTTCATTCTGTAAATCTGCTATAAAGTATTATAGTAAAAAAAAGATATTTTAAATAGAAATCTTTTTTTAAACTAGTTTTAATAACTTGAAAAACTTTGAGACTATTGTCACTTTATCATTTCCAAAGGTCAGTTGCTAATACCTAAAGCAGAGTTCAGAATCCGCTTGTTGACAGGGAGAAGTTTGAAAAGATTTCTAAAACAACTGTTTCTGTTTGGGACGCAAAGTCCAAATTCTAACTGCTGTGGTAGACTTGAGTCGTTTCTACAAGCTGCTTGTAAATCAAGGGCATTGCATCATTACTCTGTGTAATTTAAACAACATGCAAATTTCCAGTCGCATTTCATATTGTGCATCTGTCAAAATTAATCTGAAACACACATTGTGTGATTAAAAAAAGGTTTGCTTTACTCACGGATGGTTTTTAAAATGGCATACATTCAGAAAAGAAGATGGTATAATTATTATATTATGAAAGGTGTGTAAAGGCTTGTTTAAAGGCTTCCTATCAAATTCCAGAAATGAGTGTTCTGGACACACAATCCAAGTTTTGGTCACAAGCCTTTAGAGTAATGGTTAGGAAAGCATCATCATTGCCAAAAAGCCCCCTTGACCCAGGAGGAGGATAGCAACATTGCCAATGGGTGGGAGTGGGGAAAGAAGTGGCATAATCCTGGCAGTGCTCACCCAAAAAAGTATTTATTTGTGGGTTTGTATATCACATGTACAATGATGGAGTATGGTGGTATAAATATTTTATTGGCATGAGTTTGGATTGTTCTTGCTATTTACAAATGGCAGTGCTACAAGTGAGTTATATAGGTCCTAATGAGTATTCATACCATTTTGTATTTTATTCATGCCACGTTTTTCCAAAAAAAAAAAATCTAATTTTAGAAATGTTACTTTTAATTTTATAGGGACTAATTTTCCATATCTCAGCCTCGATAAACCAGATTTTGCTAGTATCTTGAGACCAGTTGTACAGAAGAGGGAGAGGAAAAACAGTATTAATACAGTTGTAAAACTTCTAAAAATGATCTTAAAGTATACCCCATATTATCAAACTGTTCCATAGCTTGTCACAAGAATATCAAAATATGTGATATGTTGATATTCTTGTGATAAGCATTTATCATGCACTTTTGACCATTTTTGTTCTCATTTACCTCACCCAGTACTTATTTTGCTATTTCAACCCTCTGCAAATAACTGTCTTTAAAAAAAAAAAAAAAAAATAGCTATATGGCAAATGTTTTTCTTCACGTATATCACACCACCCAACATCCCATCCAAAAAGTAGAACTTCCACAAAATTGCCTCCCACCCCAAATAACTCCAGCCTGAGGCCCAGGATAGGCATGATTTAGTCCTGGACCAGTAACAGCTTTTCTAGACATAAAAATATCAAAAATTTTACCTGATATCTCATGACTCCAAAGGGATATAGATGCAGGAGTTTTATCCTTATGAAAAAGATGGGTTTCAATCTTCTCAAGCATTTGTTTCTAGGTCTGGCGGTTACATTGTTTAATTTTTAGGTATAAAAAGGATATTTTCAGTAATTTTTAAAGATTTTTATGGTTCATTTGGAGACCTAGACAGTTGAAATGAGAGTAGCTAAGGCCCTGGCTTTGCAGAGAGAGAGGGGTGTGAAAGTCTCAATACAACTTTTAACTGAAATATTTGTAAAATAGTTTTTTCTCTAATATACATAGCATAAACAGAATACGAAATGATGTGGTATAGTATAAAGGTTTATTTGGTATAATCTGTATTATTGAGTAATGGGTTCATCACTTGTCTGTAACGCATCTATCACAAACTCATGCAGATAAAAGCCTTTGACATCATTAGGGCCCTACCAAATTCATGGTCCATTTTGGTTAATTTCACAGTCATAAGATTTTAAAAATCGTACATTTCATGATTTCAGCTATTTAATCTGAAACTCTCGGTGTTGTAATTTGTAGGGGTCCTGACCCAAAAAGGTATGGGGGGGGTCACAAGGTTATTGTAGGGAGGGTTGCAGTACCGCTACCCTTACTTCTGCGTTGCTACTGGCGTCAGCGATGCCTTCAAAGCTGGGCAGCTGGAGAGTGGTGGCTTCTGGTCGGGAACCCAGCTCTGAAGGCAGAGCTGCTCCCTGCAGAGCTGGGCCTTCAGTCAGCAGCCGCCACTCTTCGGCCACCCAGCTCTGAAGGCAGCAGCGTAGAAGTGTAGGGGTGGCATAGTATGGTATTGCTACCCTTATTTCTGCACTGCTGCTGGCGCAGTGCTGCCTTCAGAGCTGAGTTCCCAGCCAACAGCCACCGCTCTCCAGCCGCCCAGCTCTGAAGGCAGCGCAGAAGTAAAGGAGGCAATACCACAACCCCCCTAAAATAACCTTGCAACACCCTCTGCAACACCCTTTTGGGTCAGGACCCCCAATTTGAGAAATGCTGATCTCCCAGTGAAATCGGTATAGTGTACAGTAAAAGTATCATGGTGCTGAAAATACTGAGTTTTGTCAAACTGTACAATATATATGTTTATGACCACACAACTTTGTGGCTGTGTTGTTTCCTATTATTCCTTTATGGAGATCCAGAATAGAATTATTTTGTATTTTTGGCAGGTTAGCAGAAAGCAGAATTGGCCCTTTATTTCCATATTTTTGTAATATGTGATGCTTTAATTCTGGCTGAACCCTCTTGCTTAACATTAATACATACTCTGTTTTTTTCAGTTCAAATCTACACCAAGTAAAAATGTGTCAGTGGTAGGATGGATGGTGATGATGGCTGATGACCCAGAACATCCTGATCTCTTCTTGCTGACTGATTCTGAAAAGGGTGAGTAACATCAGGAGAATGGTAATACGCATAAAGATCTTTTCTTCAGATTCACCTGACTTTACAATCACTTAAAACTCTGTTAGGCGTGCTCATAATTAATAACAAAAACTTTGGAAGGGATATTAAATCTCAGAGCTTAAGCCAAATTTAGGAACTCCATAGGACTGCAGCTCCTAACGCCTACTTTCCTAACTTAAAAGTTTTGCAGCAGCTTTGCCTGATACATGTTTGTAAATCATGCTTGGATCATACAGACATTATGTACATGAAACTGCATCTACCTCTAATAGTTCAACATCCAGTCCACATCATTCACCTAACTAAAACAAAAAAGGGCTATTCAGATACACTATTCCAGTAGTTCTCAACCAGGGGTCTGGGGCCCTGTAGAGGAGGCCGGACTCACCCCTGCGGCGCCTCCTGCTGGTCGTCCAGGGAATTAGCTCACCAGCCACTGGAGCGCCCTCTGCAGGCCGGTGATCCGCCTTGTCCTCTGCATTGGCCCCAGTGTCCCTCCCAGGACCCCGGTGCCCCTTTGCTCTGGGTGCTGCCCCCTGGCAGTACCCACACGCTAGGTCTCCCCTCCCAGGGGAACCCCCCCCCACTATCCCCACCTTGCCGCAGCACTAGGCCACTGCCAGTCACCAACTAGCCCCCGCTCCCTGGGGCAGACTGCAATATCGGCCACTCATCACTGGCAAGGGGGGTTTGGACCTGCTGCCTTGGCCTAGCCCTGGGCTGCCCTCTGCAACCCCCAGTACCCCTTGGCCTATCACCAGGCCACAGCCTGGGACTATCCAGGCTGGAGCTCCCCAGCTCCTCAGCCTGTCCCCAGCCCTGTTCCACCACAGGTACCCTGTCTAGCTCCCTGCAGCCAGGCCCTTCTCTCTCTGAAGGCAGAGAGAGACTGAGTGCCTGGCTCCCAGCCTCTTATATAGGACCAGCTGGGGCCTGATTGGGGCGTGGCCCAGCTGGGGCTACTTCCCCAATCAGCCCAGTAGCTTTTCCCTTTGCCCCAGCCCTCTGCCAGGGCTGTTTTAAACCCCTCAGGCAGGAGCGGGGTAGCCACCCCGCTACAGGCCCCCTGGGGGGCTGCGGGAAGGTTTATGGGGGGCTGCCAACCAGGACCAGTGTTAGACTCGCTGGGGCCCAGGGCAGAAAGCTGAAGCCCCACCTCTTGGGGCTGGAGCCCAGGCCCCTGAGCCCCGCCACCCGAGGCTGAAGATGAAGCCTGAGCAACTTAGCTTCGTGGGGCCCCCTGTGGCATGTGGCCCCTGGCAATTGCCTTGCTTGCTACCCGCTAATGCCAGCCCTGCCTTTTATATGCAGAAAACTAGTTGTTGTGAGACAGGCAGGCGGGCCATGGAGTTCTTATAGCATGTTGGGGGGGGCTCAGAAAGAAAAAGGTTAAGAACCCCTGCACTACTCCTCATAAGCACAAGTTTGGTGTTACTAGACCAAGCAGTTTTAGGGTATGTCTACACTACGAGAGTAGTTCGATTTCTCTTAAATCGAATATGTGGAATCGATATTGCAAAGTCGAACGTGTGTGTCCACACTAAGGACAGTAATTCGACTTTGTGAGTCCACACTAACGGGGAAAGCGTCGACATTGGGAGCGGTGCACTGTGGGCAGCTATCCCACAGTTCCCGCAGTCCCCGCTGCCCATTGGAATTCTGGGTCGAGCCGCCAATGCCTTCTGGGTAAAAAAATGTGTCGAGGGTGCTTTTGGGTAACTGTTGTCATCCGTCCGTCACTACCGCCCTCCCTCCCTCCCTGAAAGCGCCGGCGGGAAATCAGTTCGCGCACTTTTCTGGTCAGTGACAGCGCGGACGCCACAGCACTGCGAGCATGGAGCCCGCTGCGACCATCGCTGCAGTTGTGTCCGTTGTCAACGCCTCGCAGCTTATCATCCACCTTTCCCAGAGGCAGATGCAGATAAATCAGGCGAGGAGGCTACGGCACCGCGGTGAGGGCCTGAAGTCTGAGAGTAGCACAGGCCTGTCAGAAAGCACGGGACCCAACGCCGAGGACATCACGGTGACAATGGGTCATGTGGATGTTGTGGAACGGCGATTCTGGGCCCGGGAAACAAGCACGGACTGGTGGGACCGCATAGTGCTGCAGGTCTGGGATGAATCACGGTGGCTGCGAAACTTTCGCATGCAGAAGGGGACTTTCATGGAACTTTGTGAGTTGCTGTCCCCTGCCCTTAAGCGCAATGACACCCGGATGCGAGCAGCCCTGACTGTCCAGAAGCGAGTGGCCATAGCCCTCTGGAAGCTTGCAACGCCAGACAGCTACCAGTCAGTCGCGAACCACTTTGGCATGGGCAAATCTACCGTGGGGGTTGTTGTGATGCAAGTAGCCAACGCAATCGTTGAGGTACTGCTCTCAAAGGTAGTGACCCTGGGAAACGCGCAGGCCATCATAGATGGCTTCGCCGCGATAGGATTCCCAAACTGCGGTGGGGCTATAGATGGAACTCACATCCCTATCCTGGGACCGGACCACCAGGCCAGCCAGTACATTAACAGAAAGGGCTACTTTTCAATGGTGCTGCAAGCACTGGTGGACCATCGGGGACGTTTTACAAACATCAACGTCGGATGGCCGGGCAAGGTTCATGACGCTCGCGTTTTCAGGAACTCTGGTCTGTTTAGACGGCTGCAGGAAGGTATTTACTTCCCGGACCACAAAATAACTCTTGGGGATGTGGAGATGCCTACAGTGATCCTCGGGGACCCAGCCTACCCGCTAATGCCCTGGCTCATGAAGCCCTATACTGGCGCCCTGGACACTGAAAAAGAACTCTTCAACTACCGGCTGAGCAAGTGCAGAATGGTGGTGGAGTGTGCTTTTGGCCGTCTCAAGGGGAGATGGAGAAGCTTACTGACTCGCTGTGATCTCAGCGAAACCAATATCCCCATTGTTATAGCAGCTTCTGTGTGCTCCACAATCTCTGTGAGAGCAAGGGGGAGACCTTTATGGCGGGGTGGGAGGTTGAGGCAAATAGCCTGGCTTCTGATTACGCACAGCCAGACAGCCGGGCGATTAGAAGAGCCCAGCGGGACGCGCTGTGCATCCGGGAGGCTCTGAAAGCTAGGTTCCTGAGTGAGCAGGGTAACCTGTGACTTTTAAGTTTGTGTACAGAGAAGCTGAACCTGCCCCCGTTTCTTTACCCAGTCAATGTTGACTATCCTCTCCAGTTACATACCCCCTTCACTCCCTTCCAACACACCTTTAAAAATAAAATGACTTCTATTTTGTTAATGGACACCGTTTTCTTTATTACTGTTTTCGCGGGAATGTTTTAAACCTGGGACGCAGACTGTGGTGGGGAGCGGGTGTAGTGTACTGATGCAAATGACGCTTCTAAACTGCAGGAATGACAGGCTCCGCAGTGGTGGACTGGTTGTTTCAACGGAGCCTGCCAGCCCTCCTGATGGAGACTGCGTGTATGTGGTGGCTCTGTGACTTTGTGGCAGGGGGAGGAGGGTTACAGATCCCCTGCAGCGTGGCGCTGTGATCCAGGATAAGGGCTGCTGCATAAGATCTGTAACTGCCCTCCCCCGCCACAAAGTCACAGAGCAACCCCCCACCCCCCCACAGAACATGAAAACCACCTCCCAGACTGACCAGGGTAACTAGTGACTGCACTGTGTGTGTGCCCTGCTGCTGTCCTGTCCAATTATCAACCCCCCTACCCCCCTTCAGACAGACTCTCCTCTAAAGAACATGATGGAAACAGTAATGAACAGAAACGTATTTTTTATTAACAACCACACATGAAACTGGGGGGTGAAACTTGGACGGGGGCTTGGGTGAGGCGGGAAGGAAAGGACTTTTCAAATTTTGGGGAATGAGAGCCTTCTGGTGCTTGAGCAGTCTGCAGGGGTGGAGTGACAGTTTTCACGGACTCTGCCGCCCCTCCTTCTTTGGACTTCGGGTGAGGGGGGTATGGGACTTGGTGGCGGGGGAGGGCGGTTACTGATAGACTGCAGCGGGGCTCTGTCCTCCTGCCTCCGTTCCTGCAGAACATCAACAAGGCGCCGGAGCGTGTCCGTTTGCTCCCTCATAAGTCCAAGCAGCGTTTGAGTCGCCTGCTGGTCTTCCTGCCGCCACCTCTCCTCACGTTCCATGTGTGTCCGGTGCATTTGGGACAAGTTCTCCCTCCACTGGGTCTGCTGTGCTGCCTGGGCTCGGGAGCAGCCCATTAGTTCTGAGAACATGTCCTCTTCTTCCTCCACCTAATCTGCGCTAGCCTCTGGGTGTGTGATGCCAGGCTGGGTTGGGAGACAGTCGCAGATGTGGCTGTGGGAATGGGAAAAAGGGAGTGAATTCCTCAAAGATAAATGTAGTTGTGAACAAAGAACATAGTCTTTCTCTGTGAACAAGACCATGCACTGTACCTATCACATGCGCACTCAGGACAAGGTCAAATTTTCGGCCCTCGCATTCAGTGCCTGGGGTCTTGCACTGCCGATTTGAGAAGTGGGGCAGGACACCGGAATTTGTGTAGCAGGCAGACATGGTAAGCCGTAGACTTGTGGCTGCTTAAAACTTTGATAGTAGCACTGGCCTCCTTTCACATTGAAAGCAATGCTAGTCCCTGCTGCCAGCAATCCGGCCAGCATCAACTCTGCCCCTGTCCCACCCCCTCGCGGCTGTCCCAGGGAAAGATCCCTGTATGCCGCACCTCTCCCGCCTCCACCGCGTGGCTGTAAACCGGCGGTTACAGTTCTGTAAAGGAACGGGCAAGCAGTCACAATACTAACATTCCCCTACCTAATTCAAAGCAGGTCACCATGAGCAACATCACCCTGATGAGGATCTCAGACAGAGATAAAGAAAGAATGCTCCGGGAAAGCCTGCAAAGACCAGGGCCGTATGCCACCATGCTCTGCAGGGCAATGATCCCGGAGTACCTGATGGTCTCCTGGCGCGGAAACGTTTCATACCACGGAGGACCCAATAAGGCCGCTCTCCCCAGGAA